CACTATTGAAAAAAACAAAAAGAAAAAGGAAAATATGCAAATAAGTAAATAGTAAACTGCAAACTTAGCCTTAATATAAAAGGAAACGAACTGATGAGAGAGAAATTCTCCCCACTGTTTTCAAAGTATAAACATATGTTAATTTAACATTAATCTCATGGTAATTTGAATATAATCGGTCAGTTTCTCAACGAGAAGAAAATTTAATTATTTACGCTGATATTTCATATTTCAAGTGACGGATAAGATAGACTGATGAATAGATTTAAAATACTACAGTTAACATAAGAATTGATGTAAAAAAAAGGCAACGATGATTTATCTAACCAGCTTCTAATATGTAGGAAACTACCTACGACTGGAACTACTATGATAGATAAACGTTCTTTTCGATTTTTATTAATAAATTCAACTTTATTTGAATCATATTCCAAAGTATCGAAGTTTACAGATATGAGATAACTAGAAGCGACATTGATGCGCTACGAAGTCTTCTAATTGTAGTATTTTCTAAGTCAATTCCGAAATTGACTAAGCTACACTTATGCACGAGGACAACTATCTGTTTCTCTCTAGAATATTTCTTTTAAAGCTCGTTCATCTTTTGATGACTTGAGATTTCTTTTTCATTGAGTAGAAAACCAAACTGTTTGAAACGTCTCTTTTGAGACGCATATTTCTGTTGAGTATTCTATATCAAACATTCTGACTGAAGAATACTTAATGGAATACTGCTATGTTGATCGTTGACGAGCGATTCTTATAGTTGTATTGTTATCTGTGTTGTACATACTATGTCTACGTCCACACCAACCTAGTGAATATCAAACTATTTTATACAGAAACTCGCGACTAATAGCAATGTAATATGTGTCCTATTCTTTATTTCATTTTGAATGATTTTCCACAAAAAAGAATATATCTCAATCGATCATCTCGATTGTTACACATAAAAAGCATATGCATCGCATATTGTGAATCCAACATCAATTTTCAGTATAAGTTAGAAGTTAAGTGACCTGTTTAGTTAAGCAACTACTCTGTGAACGAAACGGAACACAAATGAATTCAAATGAAAAGAACAGACGAATAATCGAACGAGAGAGTGATAAAGGAATAACCTTCTATTTCCTTTCTCCGTGGACTGAACGGACGGGAAAGAAAAGACAGGACGAAAAAAATTTCTTTTAAATGAGGACGGATGATGAACTCTGTTTCTATGTGATAATGAAAAGTAGATAAAATATAAAATAGTTAATTTTTGAAACTTTCATTGAAAATTCTAACTCATTTTACAATTATAAGCTATACGAGAACGGGATAACCCCTAGTTTCAATCCTGTTCATTCCTTGAGAAACTTTGGAAGGATCTTTCAGGATCCTGAATCTTAAGGATCTTGTCAAGTTTTTATTCAGGATCCTGTTTCAAATTCTTAGTATTTCCTGTCTCCGGGATTTTTAAGGTGAAACAAGATCCTGTTCAGGATTTCTTCAAGTTCCTGCTCAGATATTTTTCTGAGTTGAGAATACAGAATCCTATCAGGATTTCCTGAGGATTTTATTAAGGATCCTCTCAAGATAATGAGAGAGGATTCTGTCAAGAGTGATAGCCACATCAGACGAGGATCCTGGTAAGAAAATAATAAGATCCGTCAGTATATGAAACAAACTAATCCTGCAACGCTTCAATCAGGATCTTGTTCAGAACTTTTTCAAGAATATGCGTTTTTAAAACTTGCAAGACAATGCCAATTCTAATCACGATCTTGGTAAGAATATGTAAGGATTTAGCAGAGATCTTTACAGGTTACTGCTTAGTCCACTCAGCCATGTCAATTTCTTGAGATAGCCTTGAAGGATCTTTCAGAGTCAAAAATCCCAAAGATCCTGTGAGGTTTGTTTCAAGATTCTATCTAAGATTTGTTCATGTTCTTGCTCAGATTCTTTTTTCTGAATTGAGTTTGTAGGATCATACTAAGATTCACCGTTAATCCTATTCAGAAATGTGACAAAAATCATAAAGAAAACTTCATCAAGATTTCATTAGGTTTGGGTGAAGATGTGTTCTGGATCCTGATACAAGGATTCTGCCAAGAGTTATAGTTATATCAGAGTAGGACCATATCAGAAATAAAACAAGATTAGTCACAGTCTTCAACTAAGAAATCCTGTCAAACTTTGATCAGATCGCTGAGCGGAACTGTTCAAGAAGAGGCATTTCGAATACTTAGAAAATAAATGCAACTATCAGCACGATCTTGATAAGAAAATACAAGGGACTAGTAAAGATCTCCCCAGGTCTGTGTTTAGAGACATTCAAAATTTAACTTTCAGGATCCTATCAGGAACTTAATAAGAACGAATGAAACGGTTCCCTGACACTTTCAGCCAACGTAAGCTCAAGTCAGGATGCTTTCAAGATTTGTAAATCTATAGACTGCAACAGAATTTCAATATCAATGTTGAGCAAAATTTCAATAAAAAAATAGAAGGATTTTTAAGATATTAATGCGTTTTGTTCGAAAGACGACAAAATTCTGAGAACTGAACGATCTAGTGGCATTTTTATCCTGATCTTGATGTGATTCTTTTCATACAGTAATACAACGAATCCTAAAGATCTTAGAAAAAAATATTTTCTCAATCTCTTTTTAGTTTATATAAGTTGTTTTGAGATTCGACTACAGCAATAAGTTCTTTCTTAAGCTTATCAGAAAAAGAAAATTGAAATTATTAAATTAGAATGTTAATTTGAATTTAGTCATCGCAAAATAATATTCCTGTAAAAATACAGTTTTATTCAGCAGCAAGTTTTTCGATAAAAGCTGCTCATAGTTTTGATTACATTTGAAAAAATTCAAAATATATTTTTTAAATAGAATTACATTGAAAAAAATTCAAATAGATTTTCTCAAATGAATATTGTTTTATTTTTAAAAATGTCAATTTGTTCTTTTATTAACATAAATGAATATACAATCAAAGAAGCTCAATATATGTCAATGAACAAACAAGTTCATATTCCCTCACTATAATGAATCATTTATAAGACTTCCACTAGTCTACAAAGCTTCATTCTTATGCTTTTATCCTTCTCTCAACGAATACACATTTCTAAGACATGTGAAAGTATTTCCTCAAAAAAATAATTATCAACTATAGTATATTATTTAAATTCATTATCAAAAATCGAGCAGAATTTATTAAGCCAAGATATTCTATTTCGTTCCAATTCATTTATCATTTTTCAATCTATAAATCATCGATTGACATTGAATTATGATGTTGTATTAAATTAAATGAAATCCCTATAATATGTTGGGTGTGGGTGCGGACGTGAGTATGGGTGTGAATGTGGCTGTGAGTGGATGTGGGTAAGGGTGGGGTATGGGTGAGGGTGGGGTATGGGTGTAGAAAGCAGAATCCCACCCACACCCTATGTGATGATTCCGTTCTATGATTGAGTATTTTACTCTCTTTTTCTTTAGAATCAACCGAAAACTGTTATCATCTTAGAAATCGAACCAAGAAATCGATATGAGTTGGTTTGTACAACTGAAGCCAGATTGGTTCAATATCGAATGGGTGATGTTATCAATTGCACGAGATTTCTTTGTTGAACAAATGATTTGGTTCCATTACCCACAGAACCAATAGAGATTCCTCGAATTCCTCATATTTCCATTGCATATCGTCTTGGATCTCTTTTGAATGTGTTTGAAGAGAAAACGACTGAACAATATGTAATGTATGCTCTGAAAGAAACAGTTCAACAATGGAGAGATCAAGGAATACATGTTGACTTATTTGATTTCACAACGTATCCAAAAATTAGATGTATTTCTACGTGAATACGTTAGCTTTTTGAAGTTAAGCGATGGACAAGAACAAAAGATTAATGATCAACAACTTGAGATTCTCCAAAATATTGCCAATTCTAAAATCGAACAACAACTTTGTAAAGCAAACAACATCTATCAACGTACTCGAAATGCAGGACAACTTGGTTCTCTTGTTTGTATTCTTGTTCGAAGTGGAACATTCTCAACTTTTCGGTACAAAGAGTTAATAACTGATCGAATGAATCCTCGTCAAATCAAACCTCATCGATTGTTGAAAAATGAACATCACATTCAATTCTTTTATAACAATCAAATTAATACTTCGTCATAATCTTTCGATTCTTCTTTTCGGAATGACAACGATGCTTGAAAAATTTCTAGTAATACAGCCGGTGAATGTCTCGTGTCAATTTGGTTTAATATAGCAGTAAATAAAGAAAAAGTAGACGTCACTTCATGTTTTTATTTATTTCAAACAAACAAACAAACTAAAGTATTTTCAAACAAGACGATAGATTTTGGCTAAATAAGAAGAATTTCGTATCCAGCTTATTCGAACAACAATTATAGTTCGAAAGCTCCACATATCAGGATCCAGTTCGTATTCAAATTTCAATCGACGAAGATGAGGTAACCAGTTCGTAAACATTTTTGGAATGAGCCAACATTTCACTTTCTTCATTCTGCCATCCTCTGGATGTATTAAGACATGTTTACGACGCATGCCAAATTGTCGAGTAATATCAATGAATGATTCGTTCTGAGCTACATCTCGTTTGATAGTCAGATGAGTTAAATTTGGCACAGAACGAAAGAGTTTGTATGACTGAAGATGATAATCGTCAATAAGTGTTAACGAACGAAGTGTATGATTTATTGCTGATCCTCTTCCGATGAAATAATTCCAATTGAGTGAAGAAATCGAAGGTAATGAACATGAAATAAGTGATGGAGTATTGGTACGAGTTGACTTGAAGATAGTGTAATAAAATTGAGCCACATCATGGTTAATAGTACCAATTCCATTGAAATGCAAATGTTTGAGACGTGGTAAATATGTTGATTGAAGAAATTGTAATTGTTTTGGAGATGGTCGATCGAGAGAAACCCAAATGAGATGTTGAGCATTGACATGATAAGAAAATGAACGACCATCACGAACACTGATGTGAGTTACAGGAGTGCGATAGTCATAGTAAGACACGCCCATTTCATGGTGATGAATAGTCGTAGGCAATGAATAGATGAGATTAGTCAGACGATTATTAAGTCGAAGAAAAGCACGAGTAATATCGCCAATATGAATGTAAGAAAATATTTTAAGCCATACTTCGTTGGGAAGTGCTTCGATGGACAAAACCATACAGTCATTCATTGTTATAGAAAGTTCTAAAGCAGAAAGATGAATATTTTCTTCGAACTATTCTATTGTTCATGGACAATCATCACTTAAAAGAAATTCAATCACCGGAGATTAATTTTAATCACATAATCAGAATATGACTGCAAGATTTTTTTTGTATACAGTCAATGTAGCTAAATACCTTTCAACTCGAACAAATGAACTGTTCCTTTGGCCCCTTCTGAAAAGAAAAACTCTGCATGATTGACAATATCTGCAACAATGTATGTGTAGAAAAAAGAAAACAGTCCGTATTCTCAATCGTTACAAGGTCAATTTATCAATGAGTTATTCGTCGAAAAAAAAAAACAGAACAATTAAAATGAATAGTCCGTGATGCATTACCCTACAATACATTGACCGATGTAATAGCACACTTGTCTATATACAATCGGACGATGACGATGTAGTATAGAATGTTTCTTTCAAAGAAAATCGACTTGATTGATGATAATGGAAAGTGTTCATATCATATACACACCCACTTCATTCCCATGACGTTTGTACTAATAGTGACACTCATTTTTTTTTTTGATTGAACCGCAATTGAAGCCAAATTGTTTTTCTCGATAAAAAGTTTACTTGGCATAGTAGTTATTGCAATTCGTTTTTTTATCTTTCTAACTTATGATAATGATAGAAGAGATGGCCGATTGTCGCGAAAGAGAACAAAAAGAAGAGAAAGATTTCAGTTCTTGACAAGCGAGAATATTCATGAATTGTTAGGTAGAAATCAAATTTTGTTTTCTACACAAGTCTTGATGACGCACATCTTGAGAGTGTGAGTGTGAATTTAACATCGATGCCATACTGACACACTCAATCTCTATTCTATCTCGATCGAGTATGTGTCGCTCAAGTTTTATTAACTAGACAAATTTTATCTCGAAAGCGATGCGTATAAAATTGATTTTGGTCAAAACTAGAGATCGAAACAAGACGAAATTTTTATTCTCCGCTCCACCTCGACTCGCCCCGTTTCGGTCTCTAACTTGTACTTGACATATTTCGGTAGCAACCTCATTGAAGAAATTCTCATTTATTACCAAAGACATCAAATGCAAAAAATAGACGGAAAACATCAAGAATATCCAGAAAACAACATGTCACTCAATAGTGAGAGTGAGGCTTTTTTCTTAATCTTCACTCTCACTCTCAAAATTCATTTATACTTTCGCTTTTGAATACACTATTTCTAAACTCAGTTACCAGCACTCTCATTCCTAGGGTGGGTGTGGATATGTCAAGAGTATTGAAACACACACACCCACATCCCCACCCTTAATATAATAATCTATTATACAAAATTAATATTATTGAAAAAAAAAATTATCTTATTTCAAACAACGAAAATTTATATTTAAATATTCATCTATATTAATTTCAACTTACGTAAACGTTTTAAAAATGAAGAAACAAATATAAAAACGAATGAAAATGAAGATGAATATTTTGATGATATACTTGAATCAATTTATATTGAAAAACTTCCTTCAATATTTTTAATATGTCATTCATCACTTGATTCATTACCATCAATACCGTTA